GCGAACGAGTGAGAGATACTTTCAGCACGAGAAGATAAAATTCGTATTCCCAAGCGGCTATGTAATGTTCTGTTTATTTTATAGATACTGATGAAATTCCTACATAAAACACAACTTTTTTTTTATTCATTTTCGAAACAGCAAAATAGTGCAATTAAAGTGGTCACCTATCGCAAAATGCCTGTCACAAAATGTTATGAAACTCGGATATAAAGTTATAAAGGAGAAATAAAGACAATAATACTTAAATTTTCTGTTCCAAAAAGTCAAAATTCTAAAGAAGAAGAGACAAACCATGTTAGTAACCATGACGACACCAATATCCTCACACGTGAAAGATAAAAATAGATGAAGATATGATTTTTTAGTAAAAGGAAAAATCCTGGTATTTCATCGGTATCTATATAATAAAACATTTTATTCCTTAGAGGAGAATTTGTTCTGTCACGTTACCTTGGTGACAAAATTTCTGGATTTCAACAAAGCGTGGTCCTTCAAATATAGCAGACAAAAAAAGGAATAAACTGACATGTATGACTTTACTGTACATGATTGCACTCAGAAACAAAACGGTAGTCCATGCTATTCTTTCATCATTCGACAGTGCCAAAGACTATCTCCGTCAAGAAAGATTGACGAGATTCAGAAATTTTGCTTCCATAGTAACGTGACGTCACACTTCTCCTCTTGCCCCAGCTACTTCATACTTGCTTAGAGGCCGACCATTTAATAACTCTTGAGGGGGTTGTGGTTGGATGATTTTGAAAAAAACTTTCCTGCAAGCGCTTGTCGGAAGAAAAAAATTGCATGCAGCACAAATGTAATAGAAAGCTTATGGGAAAAAAAGGGAAAAAAATATCCTGCCCACCAGATTGCTAGAAAAAAAATTCTTGATGACCAGAAATCACCCACCCCACCCCTCAAGAGTTAAATGGTCGGCCCCTTAAAGGTACGTGAAATAAAAGCTATCAATTACATTTGTTCAGATTCGTTTTCTCGTAAAATTTTCTCCGTTCATTTTAGAGCAATCAACCATCAAATTGTTGACAAAAAGAATTTAACTGAATTTGCTTTTTAAAAGAAAGCGTAAAAGCTCTATTATCTGAATCCAAATTTGACGCACTAATCTTAACCCAGCCTTGAACGACTCAGCCCTGGTGTTAAAGTGTAACCGATTGAATAAAGATCAACTTCGAAAGATTTTCATTGGCAAGGTTATTCAAATAGCCGCCAGCTGGTGCGAGGTATGGACCCAAGAATTTTTTGCGGGGTGAGAGACAGAAGCAAACTACAAAAATTCTCGGAAGACCCAATCACCTATAAAGAATAACAATCATGAGGTGACGTTTTATTTTCGAGTTTTACCTTTCACCAGCTGAACGGGAATTTGAAAATATAAATTAAAATCCCTGGGAAAAACCCGGAACGGGTCCGAAACATCCCGAAACCGCGGCTCCTGGAACACCCCCGGAACACCTTCACGACACCCGGAATTCCCCGTAATACCCCCCTGACGGGCCAGACCCATACCCAAGCGGATGGCCCATGAGGGATTTACAATATTTTTCAATAAATATCTTCTACCCAAATTGATGTCACTCATAAAATTCACTTATTTTGATTCTTGTCTTGTCTTGTTCTATTTGATTTTGATATTTTGTCTTTGATTAAAAAGAAAAAATATTTTTTTGTTTTAGCGCTTCATATTGGTTTTTCAGGTAATCTTTGATTTCCAAAATTTATTATCGCGCTTAACATCTCAAATGGCGTTTTTGATTTTCAAAATGAGATAGATATGGATCTTACCCACGTGACAGCTTCGCTTCAGTGGGTGGTCAGCGATACTCAAGGCCAGGACACTCAGACACATATCATAGCCGGGCGAGACAGAGAGGGTGTTCTTTCCGAGGAAGCTGTCTCAACATTTATCAGAACAGTCGCAAAGACTGCTAAGTTTAAACAAAAGTATTTATTCCAACGAAGGAACTACAGGACATCGCGCTTCAGTCTGAAGACTCACTAATCTCAAGAAAAACATAAGGGACTGTACCCGCGGAGTGCACTCGAGGATTGTTTCGGTAAAGTTTTGCCGCCGAGGCCTTCAAAACCCAGACCCTGCTTAAGACAAGAGACCTTATTTTAGGACCTGATTCTTTACTTTTCGCATACAGAACTAAGTAATTTTTCAAAAGAACATCGTCGAATTGGATTGTTTGGTAAAAAATTTCTGGTACCACAAATGTAGACAGCTTATATCCAACCTTCACATCCTTTTAACCCTTTAAGCCCCAATATACACATACAAATTCTCCAAACTGATCTCCATACATTTTCTTAAAGAATGCGTTGAGAGAATTTGATAAAAGATCAAAGTATTTTCTCTTAGGTGATCATTTGATTAATTCTCTTAACCTTATCTCTTGACAATGTGTGGATATCGTTAGGAGAAAATTGCTGTTGGTTACTATTGGGACTGGAAGGGTTAAAAGATTCCGGTCCAAGACCCTGAAAAGCATGCCCTGCTCAGGGACACATACCTGTCAAGGCCAAATAAGGGAGTGCCCCCCACCCCCGCCTCCGGGAAATACCTACAGAACAAAGAATTCTGTATGCAACACGTATGTAATCTACCCACTCGAAAGAAAAAAATAACAAGCATTAGCTGGAAAAATTAAAATGAAACACTAAAAACCAAGAATATTTTTCTTTTTGATCAAAGAGGATATTTTAAAACAAAAGAAAACAAGACAAGAATCAAATTAGTGAATTTTATAAGTGATACTCCTCAAACACGGTAGACATCAAGTCGGTATGGTATTTATTTAAAAGATATTTTATATTTGGGTTATTTATTTTTTCTTGACTTCACTAGCGGCTCTTTCAGCTATATTTCAGACAAAAAGGCCAGTAAGTATTCATATAAAGACAACGAACTACTTTCTTAAAATCTTCAGAAGTCGTTAAGTAGCGTGAATTCGTCAATCTGACCCAATCTCCGTTTTCCAGTTATAGATAAAACTTATTTATTGATTCATTGATTCATTGATGATATTTTAGAGTTTTTTTGGTTTTGTAGTTTTTTTGCCTAGTTTTTGTTTTTGTAATTTTTTGCCTAGTTTTAAGGGTGTTCCGGGGGCGTTCGTCCCGTCAGGGGGTGTTCCGGAGTATTCCGGGAGTGTCCCGGGTTGTTCCGGGTTTAACAGACACCCTGCGAAGTGCAGTTACTTAATTCTCATTTGAAAATTTTAAAGTCGACGCTGTTATACCGCACGTGGCAGCGCGCGTCGGCGAGTAAGCGTGAGCTAATTTAACGGACTTTTTAACGGTGTATAGTTTTGTACCCTGAAGCACAGGTGGCCCAAGCGTAATATGAGAGTTTGTATGGGAAAAATAGAGTTTGAAACTTAGATGAAATAAATGAAGTAAAAGCAATAAAAGTTCTCAATTAAGTGTAAATATTGTTACCTGGAGTCGTTGTCTTTGCTTTTACGAAGTCTCTTATTATTACACTGTCAGGTCAGATGCTGTAAAAGTACTCAAATCGCACTGAAACTTCGTAAAAGCAAAGACAACGACTCCAGATAACAATATTTACACTTAATTGAGAACTTTTATTGCCTTTACTTCATTTATTTCATCTAAGTTTCAAACTCTATTTTTCCCATACAAACTCTCATATTACGCTTGGGCCACCTGTGCCTGAAGAAGGCAGCATTGTCGAAACGTCGGTTAAAAATCTTGTAACAGCGTCTGTTTTACAATTTCTAAACGAACATTGGTGAGCGGGTATTTGAAAATGGCTACCAATGGATGCTATCCGTGCGTCCCAGAAAGAATTGGAGCTTGGAAGTGTTTGCTTTCGGAAGAGAGGCCTCTAGCTTTTAAGATTAATCGTCCAAAAATACAAGTCATTGAAGAAACAACGTAAAATCAACAGCTCAATTTGTTTATTTGTGTCCAAAAAACTATATTTTATATGTACATGCTTATTAAAGAATATTTTGTTTTGACAATATATGACAGCCAAAAAAGACGAAAAAGCATTTTAGCTAACGAGTATAGTACTTCCAGTATCTGAATTGCATGTTACATTCTTTATATCATTATTAAAGGTCCGTTTTCTACCGTTTTGAAACCTACAATCATGCCCTGCCTATATCTCTATTACGTCTCAAAATATGTCTCTCTAAAAAAACGCCTCATCGCAGGTTAAAAAGAAACCTATCCTGGGTCTTTAGATGGCAAAGTGTTGACATCACCCATCATGCACGTGTGCGCTATACTAACTACTGCCTAAAGATTGCAAAAAGTTGCGGAAAAAACGCCAACAAAACGCCACGAAGTCGCTTGAAAACCGCCGAAATATTGTCTGTGTAAACTGGCCTACACTGTCTTGGTTCGCACAGTACTGTCGAACAACAAGAGTTTTTAGAATTACCTAGAGGTGTTTTTGCTGATGAGTCTTTCAAGTCCTAATATCAGCTATCATACTCTCTACACTGTCCTTCATACAATACCTACGGTAATGTTGAGGAGAATTTGCCTAACGATCAAGATGTGTAATCCTAAGTAATGACTTTCGTTACTCTCACTACCTAAGTGTTTGCTTGAGCAGTAAAAATGTTAGGAGAAATTGGATGTACGTCAATATTAAAGCATGGAGGGTTATAGGTCCGGGGGCCCGTTTCTCGAAAGTCCGGTTACTTTACGGGCCGAAGTCATATTCCAAAATCAAAATAATATAAAGAATAGTAGCGTCGGTTTTAATCCCCTAACTAGGCCATTGTATTTCGCAAACTGGTTACTTTAATGCATAATTTTTAAGACTATTTAAAATACCTCAATCTTGAATGCAGATACGCCAGCTTTTGGGGTTAGTTAATTACCGAGAATTTCGAGAAACGGGCCAACGGAAGTTTGAAGTCCTTGTCGACCGAGTCCATTTCATACACTTTGGGGGTTCCACCAGTCTACACATAAGAGGAAATCCAACTGAGAAGTTATTTCATATTTTTGTATTTCTGGAACAAGGAGTAAAGTATTCTGAGTGTTGACTTGAGGTCCTTCTGAACCACATCTGTAAAAAACACAAACAAACAAACAAAAAAGCTCAGTCTTTAACAAGAAAAGTTCTAAGGGTTATCCTGGTTGTTTACCGGTCGATCCTCGGCTTGGGCAAATGGTACGCAAAATACAGGACTGGTAAATTTTGGCTCGGAATCGCGTACCATTTGCACAAATCAGTTGAACCATTTACTAAAAATTATTTACATTCCATTTACTGGAATTGGTATCAAAGATGGCTTTGAAGAAATGCAACACGAATTTACGCTTGGAACATTCCGTCCGGAAAGTCACGACTGCCTTTTCAGATGTTCCATTTTCAAAGTGACTGACTGTGATTCAGATTGCTGTTATTCGGATTAATTGTCCTTGAGACTGTTCTCTTCCTTTCGCTTCTAACACAGATTTTTTCCTGTTGCAACTTCTGTTCCGCTCCTTACGATAAAAAGGGGACCGAATACTTTGAGGGAATGGGGGTACACACTTTTTGGGGTCACCCTCACCCCTTAATCTCGTAATAATTACAGTACAGTACAGTATACTTTTAACGGAGGATACGAAGACCAGAGCGGGAGAGGACTTAACCAAGATTTATACGAGAAGGCTACACCCGGTCCCCGAGGTCCCTTTTATATTCCATTATACCTCCCCGTAAAGGCCATTATAGTAAGCCCCCCACCCCTCCCGGATTGAACACCCGACCAAAATTATCACCCGAGAATCATCTTTTTTTAGAGATAACCTTTACCTTAAAATTTACTTGACTTAGAAGTCATTTACCTTCAGATTTCGCATGAAACTTCATTCCACTGTCTCTCATGAGGTCAATAGCTAAAGCAACATTATGGAGCTGTTTTGAACAATGAAAACACCAGTAATGAGCGAGCTCAAACAACAGGGTCACTGTAAAGGCTTCGTATCTTTAGGCAGATGGTGACCGCAACAAGAATGTCAAAAAAGCAGTAAGTTTATATTAGCAAAAGAACAACTTTGCACGTGCAGCATACTTCTTCGTACATTTTTTTCTTTTTCGACTACGACGTGAAATTGCCTAGTTTCACGTTTTATCGAGGAGGTAATAATGACCTTAAGCAAAGACGACGGCGGCAGCAACGAGAACGGCAACAAAGCAATAGGTTTGATAAACAAAACAACAACTTTGCAAGTACATCAAGCTTTCTGTACATTTCACTGCCGTCACTGCACGACTACGAAGTGAAAGCGCCTAATTTCACGTTTTGTGGAGGAGGTGAACACAATGCAATGACTTCCTTTTTCTTTTCCTGTACTTTGACACAGTCCTTTAGAATTCAACGCCAGAAAAATATGCCAACATTTGACGAATTGCACGAGAGGGAGTAAACGCGATCCCTACTTCTATTAAACTATTAACTGCAGCATACCTTTTGATCTTTGTTTGCTGGTGTGATGTAATACTGATACAGTGGTACAAAGAAACCTTCAAGAAGCCCCAGCAAAAAGATAAGGTAAACACCATCATGGAACTAAGGCAACAAAAATGAAAAAAATGAATTATTTTAATTTATTAATAATCTATTTAAAGGGCAGCAGTTCCTTTTATTACTAAAGTATGTATATCCTAAAGTTCCAGAAGTGAAAACCTTCGAAGTTCATGTACATTGTAGTGAGCCTCCACAATGTCATGATAAAATTTCATGATTGCTCAAAAGTAGTCCCCCACCCCCTCCCCCATACCCTGTGGATCCACTACCCCACTTCTTCAAAAAATAATCCTATACGAGCATAACTATTACAGACTTTCTTTCTCTACATGTACATCTTTCCATAATGGTGCACTGTATACACTGAACGTACAGGATATTCTTTTTTTAAAAAAAGAAACAACCTGTTATTTTTCATGATTTATATGTAGTTCTGATCATCCTCACCACCTTTATGTTGATTGTATCAACAATTTAAAATACCATAAGGACGATTTAGAAGTTGCTTAAAAATGGTGATGTTAAATGGTGTATCTTGTCTAGTTCCAGGAACATCTCTAAGATTTCAAGTTGCTGGCTAAACAAAACACGTAGCCAGGAACAAACAGCTAAGGATTTTTATTGGAATTATTTTCCTAAGAAAGTAGCCAGAGGCCACATTCATTGTGGTAGCTGGGGCAAAATTCCCATTTCATGGCCCTTAATAACAGCTCTGTAGTTCATTAGTACCTGTGAGTCAATATTGTCAACCTCCAGGCTTAACTTGCTTAGATGCTTGTTAACAAAACTCTGCAGAGACTGTAAATCAATCAATCAATCATCCGTCAGTAATTACCATAATATTATGCTTTTTTGGAATGTCTTACAATTTCTCACAGAATTGGCCACTTGCACGGCAGTGTCATTTTACTGTTACTAATACCAGACTCTATCTCATTTTTCCATTCATATTTATGATTGAAAATCCCAAAACGTAAACATCATTAGCACTTGAAAAAAAAACTACCATTATACATCAGAAAGCTCATGCATAATATACATACATACCGGGTATTCTGAAAACATACTTAATGCGCAACTCAACCAAACATCGCATGGGAGAAACATGGATGGCAGAAATAACAGTTTTCAGCTCAGATAGAATTGGGCTTTGACTGAGTCAAATCTGTGGCAATTACTTGATGTACTTTATTGTAGAGTACTTTAAGGGCTGCCATAATTTTGCAAAAATTAAATTGCATATACCTTTTTAACCACATTTAGCTTCTCTGGTGCATTATCAAACAGTGCATCAAAGGCTTCTCTTTCTAGAAATGAAAAGAAAAAAACTGAGCTGATATAAATGACTGACTTGACAAAATAGTTACAAGGAAACAGCCACAACCATTAAAAAGGTTTAGAATGAACTGCAAAAACATACCAGGCTTTCCTTCATCACTGAAAAAGAAAAAAATGATCGAGAGTTAAATTCTGTGATTTATAAAAGGTCATAAAAATGGTCACTGTCATTCATTAAAATTAGGGTCAAATTTCAACAAGCAACATGGCCTTGGGACAGCGACATGAAAAAGAAGAAATTTTGACAAACGACAAAAAGATGTCTTAAAACTGCACAGCAATGAAAAATATGCACATACAATATACAAAAAATAATATCAACAGGGACATGGCTTCCTTCTCAAGATATGAAACAAATGGTTTTGAAATATTCAGATTAGGGTCACATACGTACCCCTCAAGAGGACCACAAAAAAACCTAGCAAGACTTTACACTTTAACACCAGACATCAACAGTTCACATCTGATATTCTATAAAGCAATAATGGCTCTTGATGCTCACGCTACTTACTCTTCTCCTTCAGTCACTTCCGTTATCTCCTTAACAACCTCCTGAGGAAGTAGAATGCCTCCTTTCTTCTGCACAATGACTGACGTGTTTATTGTAACTCCACCAGGCAGTTTCTGTGGACACTCAAAATGATGTGCCAACTCAACCAGCAGATGCAGAATGGCTACAATGTCCTTGTCATGTTTTCCTGGAGAAAAGGTCCCATCACAATGTACAGTCAAACTGAGTTTTACAGACTCCCGCTTAGAAAGGCAGACACCTCATCATTACATCAGTTTTCTTTGTCCCTGAGGAAAGCTCTACCATGGATTTTATGTAAAGTCAATCCGCTTAACAAGGAAACTTTCTATGGCCCCCTCAGTGTCCAGTGTTTTGTACTTCTCACTATCATAAGATTCAAGTTTTTATTCAACCTTTACAAATCCTCATTTCAGCAAATGAATGCAAAATTTCTGTCAGTTTGTCAGTACCGACAAATTCACTGACAACTTTTAACTTGGTTAAGCTAGGGTTCAACTGACATGAACTGACAAACCCACAACTGACAAATTTTGTTGGTTTGTTAGTACCGACAAATTCACTGACAACTTTTAACTTGGTTAAGCTAGGGTTCAACTGACGTGAACTGACAAACCGACAACCGACAAATTTTGTCGGTTTGTCAGGACCGACAAATTCACTGACAAATTTTGACTTAATTTAAAGCAAGAGTAAAACTGACGTGAACCCACATGAACGCGGTCAAAGGGCCAGTAAGGGAAAAACGGATGTACATGCATGATGTTGCAGGCACGATATGAGTTTAATAATCTCATTTTTATACAGTATCATGTCCATGCCTTTCATTTCGGCAAACGAATGCAAAATTTGTCAGTTTGTCAGTACCGACAAATTCACTGACAACTTTTAACTTGGTTAAGCTAGGGTTCATCTGACATGAACTGACAAACCGACAACTGACAAATTTTGTCTGTTTGTCAGTACCGACAAATTCACTGACAAATTTTGACTTAATTTAAAGCGAGAGTAAAACTGACGTGAACCCACATGAACGGTCAAAGGGCCAGTAACGGAAAAACGGATGTACATGCATGATGTTGCAGGCACGATATGAGTATAATCTCATATTTATACAGTATTATGTCCATGCCTTTCACATAATTTTGGAACCAAAAGCAATGCGAAACCACCATGATAAGGCCTAGGAGCACAATCGACAAAACTCAACAATATATAATACATTTTAAGTGTAAATCTCTGATCACCTTTATAGCCTTATAGTCTAATCGTAGATCAAACAATCTCATTTTGTGTTTCTTTTTACAAACAAATGCGCATGCCTAAATTTCAATTAAAACCATTCAATTACAGCGTAGAATGGCAAGTATATGACATTCCTGTTGTCACATCAAGTATCACTATAGAGCCTCTGTATGGGCACTTGCCGACATCTATTTTGTTGCTCGTTGTTTTTTCATCCATCGGTTTTTCAGGCGAAATAGTGGCCTTTAATGGAATTAATTATTTTGCATGGTAACCCTATAGCTATAATAAATAGCGAGGTCAGAGCACCACAACGACGACGAAAAGTGGAAAATAACCAAAACAAAAATTTTTGAAAGTGCATCAAGCCGGACTAACGTTTTCAAACTTTATTGAAAGGGTAGCGATCGTCACTTTAAACTCTAAGATGGTTGCCTTACCAATCTTTGACATATCGTCACCACTTCGGTTTCTTGGTCGAACATACCCATTCGGAGGCTTATTTAATAACGTAATGGTCAAGTAAATAAATACAACTTGGTTGAAATATCATAAACCTCCTGAGTAAATTTTAAAACTAGACCCTTATAAATATTTACTGTCTAATACGGTAAAAAAATCACTGGTACATGGTTGCGCTTTTCCAAATAGCACTGTGTTTTAATACGATTCATCTTAAGAGCATGGAAAGTACAAATGTAAAATGAGCATGCTTATAAGAAGAATTTGTAGTTCAGCATTCACAAAACTTCAGATACAGCAGGAAAAAGGTTCATACATTGTACCAATCTGATTTGTTTGTATATGCTGGCAGAGTAAGACCTCGTATACGCCTTGAATTGGAATAATTATGTTACAAATGTGATATCTTTGTAAACGTCTCGAATAATAGTGGTAGCCTGTTTCAGACATTCCGACTGCCGAGTGGGAGGGTAAGATTGAGAAACTTCTGAATATAATCATGCCCATTGTTTTGTCTTCTATTCCTCTACCTCCAGAAACTGAACGTCAGGGACTTTCAACTAGCACCACAGTTCCTTTTTTGAAAAGGGCCCTAGATACTCAGCTTTCGGTGTATTCTATAACATGACCCGCTATAAGTGAAGCAACAGAGGATCAGACTGTCTGTTCTATGTGTTTTTGTAGAAAACTTGAAGCATGTTTTTGTCTTGGCAGACTGCATGTTTAACTGCCAGTTCGAAAGAAGAAGCAGAGTAATGTAAGTTTTTACACACAGAGGATACTCCCTTATGTTTGCCTGACAGGTATGTGCCACCCAAAAGGTATCGTTTTCGCATTGTTTCGGTCTGACAACGGGTATACACTTTTACTCTCACAAGTGTTTTTCAAGGGAATATGGAGATGCATGAACGTAGTTGTCATTTACATTGCAAATGAATGAAAAAGAAAGAGTAATATGCGAATAGAAATAATGAGCTGAAAAAAGGGAAATCTTTCAGTTACCATTCTTATGTAAGGGCCTGTTTACATGACTGTAAGTGGGGGAAACTCAGCTATGTGATGTAACCCGCCTGTCCAAATATTATCTCATTTTAATTTGATCATGCATACATGATAAGTGGGGTGACCCGCCACATGTTACCTCACCTATCTGGGGTCCCCCACCTACATGTAAACAGGCCCTATTAAAGTGATGGTAACATAATTTCTGCCTACCCCAGGTCTGACGACATGTATGTATTTTGGAGGCCAGGTCTCAGAAAAGGGGATCGAAAATAATTAAAACTTGTTGGTTTGAAATAGGGTCAGGATGTGGTGAACCGGGTGGCACACCCCCACCGCGAATTTCCAGGCATCCCCCTGGGATGGTTTCCTCAAAGAACTCATATCTTTTTCTAGTATAAAACAACGTTAAAAGTAGTAGACCTTAGTAGCAGACTTGGTGAAACTGACCTTACTACCAGCAGTTCAAATACTCACTTTTGCTTCCCCCTCCCCTAAAAAGGTGCTTACATGCCCTCTCGAGTACATCGTATTTCTATGCATTCAATGGTATTTCACTACAGGGTTTACCCTAGTAAACAATATGTATGTTTATCCATATGATGTATGATTTTGAGGTGACGCTGTACTGATGGAATGAAGAGCCTAGTATACATTGAATACAGCTCATTGAAAAAGCGAACTGATTATAACTGGACATTTATACAACACTAGCCTTAGAGATAATCAAAAATAAATGACCAGAAGGGGGAAGCTGAATTAGTCTTTATATCAACCTTATTCTTAAAGTAATGATTGTCAATGAAAACTAACCACAGTAGAACTAAAGCTTATTCATGGCAGACAAGTGCTCCAAAAAATATATTAATATTGTAAGTTAACAACAAACTGTACTATGAAATTAAAAATTGGACTAACACAAAATATTTTGTACCAGTTTAATATATTCTGTACTGGTACAAAAACAAATTGTACCAAAGTGCAAATTGAACTACAACATATACAGACGAGATTATTAAACTCGTATCGTGCCTGCAACATCATGCGTGTATTTCTGTTTTTCCTTTACTGGCTCTTTGCCTTTGGTCGTTTTCCTTCCATATGAAAGTATGCATATTTTCACTACCCGGACCCACTTTAATAGCTTTCACTTTAACCTAATAAGTTGCTAAGTATCAACGTCATCAAATATATATCTTTCCATTGATGCCTCGTTCTCAGGGTAGTCTGAGCAATCCTAATGAGAGTTACACTCACTAAGAAAATTAAGAAAAGTAACATATTTTTGGAAGAAAATCCACTGTTAATTTAGCTGTTTACCTGCACTTATCTCTGAAGATTAGAATTGCCCCTTTACTAAAAATTAGCCAGCCTCAATTCAAAAGAAAGAAGATAAAGTGGGCAATAAAACATTTTAAATAAAGAAGGAAGGCAAAGGAAAAAATACAGAGAGTGAGACTAAGAAAGATCGAAATAGATCCTAAAAAAAGTTGCAATTTTGGTTTGTGCCATGTTTATAGTAATTTTTCTGTTTAATTATATCCCTTAACTTTAGTCAGAAATATGCCCCCTGTGTTGCATACCTCATTGTTAGCCATTCTTATGATAGTCAAAAATCAGTTTGACAAGAAAGGAAATGGTGAAAACATCTTTTTTTCATTTCTCGCTGGCTGTCACCAAAGCGTAAACTGATACAAATGGGCTTAATTGTTAAGAATGTTTCCAAGACTTGAGATGCAGCCATATCACATCTCTTCTTCAATTCAGGAACTAAAAGTTTTTCGTTTTCGGTTTCTCGGTTCATATCAGTTGAACTCTGGCTTAATTAAGTCAAAATTTGTCAGTGAATTTGTCGGTTCTGAGAAACTGACAAAATTTGCCAGTTGTCGGTTTGTTGGTTCATGTCAGTTGAACCCTAGCTTAATCAAGTTAAAAGTTGTCAGTGAATTTGTCGGTACTGACAAACTGACAGAAATTTTGCATTCATTTGCTGAAATGAGGATTTGTAAAGGCTGAATAAAGACTTGAACCTTATGATAGTGAGAAGCACAAAACAGGCTAAAGGTGACGTCATTTGGTGATCCGCAACACCAAGAAACCACTGAAAAACTGGACAAAACTTTCACTATCATATATTTTATTGGGCTCGATTTTGGTAACTCTCTCGGTTCTCGCCAAGAAGAGACTGCTCGAAGGAGGAGCGAAGGCTTATTTCCCGATCAGCAGCTGATAATCGAGCCTAATATTCTATTTTATTTTTTCAATTAAAAAAAAAAAAACTATACACCATAAGCAACAAAGAACAAATTTCTGATTTTGATTATGTTGATTCAATTTTGCGCTTAGTTTCTATAAAGTAGACTTAATAAAAATTTTAAAGTTAACTTGTTTTCAAACTTTAATAAATGATGTTCAAAGAGAACAAAGCAACTTACACATGGGACGTAGCTCCTCCGCTTTGCGGCCATCTTGTCGCCAACCCTCGCTGCTGATCTACAACAAAGGCTCTTCAATTTAATACCTTCTAAACACTAAATCAAACAAAAACACGATCGGGGTTACCAGAGGTTTTCAAAGGCGTTTTCCTTCTCTCAAAACAACTGGCTGCGTTATTTCAGGAGCTGCAATTCTCTTGTTATCAACGGGCATGGTGAATGGAGCACAGGGTAACAGGATTTTGCCAGGCGTTCCACGCACGAAGGAAACTGGAACTATTTCTGTTTTGCTGTTTTTCGGGGTGGAGATGGGGACATTTTTGTCGGTGGCAGAGGAACTATGGAGCCCCAAAGATTTTTCTGAGAGAATAATTAATACGTTCTAAATTCCTCTTTTTCAAAACATCTCGAAATCTAAACTCGCCAAAGCACTTCGAAATGCCTTTAAAAGCGAACTGACTGTAAAACATACAGCACAATGCCGAAACAATGAGTCATTTTTATTTTATTTTCAAAAAGCGGAATTTAGAACGTATTTTCTTTGTTCTCACAAATTCTCTTTAAAAAAATTGAAAATTTCAAAGAACTCCCTAATGCCGTGTTTAGACTTGAGCGTGCTACCGAGGTATTGGAGTTAACTTACCTAGGTAAATATTTTGCGTGTGTAAACGCCAACTGATACCCTGGTAAACACCGCTGAAGACAATAGAAAGTTAACTAAGGTAAAAGTTCGGTTTGCCCTGCGAAAAGGCATGGTTAAGGTCGGCAACCAAGGTTTGGATGACAGATACATCCGCTTGCGGTCGCGTAGAATTTCAAATCCTGTGGTGTCGGGATTGCGTCAGGCTCATTCGATCACGTTTTCGAGACCAGGTTTTCGAGACTAGGTTTTCGACCAGGTTTCCACGTTTGGTTTCGGTCTACGAAGAAGTTATGGCAAAAACCAAAGACACAAAAGACACACCATTCTTCAACAAAATTTCTGTTTAATAGAGTTTCGAACCAGAATTGGTTTCTCGGCCACGACCACGCACGTCTAACGCGCCTTGTCTTGCGAAGGGCAATTTGTAGCAGAATTAATCGCTTTCGCCTCCACCTCTTTAGGTGCTGCAAAAGTAAGAGCTGCTGCAAACTCGATTCCTGGGTTTGCTGATCAAGAACAAGAAAATAAAACGCGAGGACTACAAGAGCCACAGCTTCTCTTTTAAACGCGAGCATTTATGCGTGGATTTAGAATTTGCCGCCAATTCGATTAGATTGTGATTGATGACAGACTTACCTTAGTTATTTGAGCCCGTATAAACACGGTACAAATGTACCAGGGTTTAGTCAGTTAATGTTTACCTTGGTAAACGCTTGAGTGTAAACACAGCATAAGATGCTTGGTTGCCAGAGTTAATTGTAGCTCTTGGGCCAGGCGTGACAGGCGCAAAAAGGGGAGGGGGAGGGGAGGGAGAAACGCCCTCTCTACCCAATCCCCCTCCCTTCTCCCCTTCTTCCCTATCCTCTACCCTTTTTGACGCCTGTTATGCAGGCTAGTGGTTGACTGTTGTTGCTGTTGTTTCTTTTCTTTTCTTTTTTGATTTTTAAAGTTATCGTACTCCTCAGCAGCTTCTCTAAGCTACAGCTCTGTTGAAGGGAATGATATAGCCTGTGTGGCGTGCCTCCCTCGTGCGCCCTTTTCTCTCTTTGCCCCCATTTGCTAAGTTATGAATAAGCGCGCGCCTCCCGATTGGTGCTCATTAATGCAAAAAATAAATGGCACCAGGAGCACATGGCACTCCCTTTGTTTTTCTAATTGTAAAGTTTTCGATCTGAATTTTAGATTAATCGATGGGCCACTTTGTTTAGAACACTTTGATTCTTTATGAAACATGTCCAGGGATCTACATGGAAGAAGCTTCGTTAGAGAATGTAGTATCAGAAAAGGTAAGTTTATCAAAAATAGCTTCAGGGCCTTGTGTACGCCACAGATCGTTTCGCAGCGCATTTATCGAGGCATCTAAATGTATCCACCTCGATGTTTCACTTTCACAATGTAGTGCAGTTTTGTTTAGATTAATTCTGTTACGTTTGAGATTCTGAAAAAATTAATTCTGATCGAAGCCAACATCTTGCACTTTTCAAAGTTAGTAGAATGTTTTGCAGCAGAGAGCGTAAGAAACTAATGGATAAACAACTCATAAAGCAGATATTTCAACTGGCCTTAAACTCCCCCGCTCTTAAACTGAATTAGCTTCTAGCTACTTGCTCAATGAAAGTTTAAGTCAAGCTTTCTGTCACCATTAACTCATGATAGAAGTAGAACTGACCGGAGTTGATAATATGAACGAAGGAATGTTCTTTGCGACCCTCAGTAATGAGGAGACATATCTTCGTATTTCCGCCTTGACGAAACTAGGTCAGCTAGGTTGCCAGTTTTAGTCATGAAAGCCTGTGACTAGCCAGTTCAAATACATGCACATATTGTAAGTCGTAGACCAATTTTCGGTCGACTGAAAACTGATGTCGGCAAGTTTATGGTTCTCTGTTCCCTTCGCTGTTAAAGTCGTAGATTAACGTATGGTGCGCGTCAAACGACTGACACGGTTGAGAACTCAGCCGCAGTCATTGCGCCTTTTATATGACGCAATACGGCTCTTCTACTTTTTGGCAACAACAGCTCAACAAGCAACGAGTTTGTCAGAAACCCTGTAGAGAAATCACAAATGAACGAAAAATAAGCCAGTGGTCATATCGATTCTGAGTGTATACAGTCAAATGATGACTTACAGGGCCGTGAAAGCTAATTCATGAGGTAAATATCTATTACTGTACTTCAACATTGAAAATACTAAAGGCAATATAATTATGATGACAGTCAGGGTGTTTTCGCATAAGTATGAGAAAACTGATATGACTTATGTTTGCCTTGTTGTCAGTTTCCAAACTGTTTTTGCTTGTCAGTGTTGTGTTGCTTAGCTAGATTATTCTGTTCACTCTCGCTCTCTTTGAAATTCATTAGACTAAGAAAATTTTCATTCGGTTCAGCTGCTTAAAAAAACCGACAATGTGTAATGCTTGGTTCTAACAAAAGACCTGGAAGTAAATCATTTCCAAACGTTCTATGCCTTAAGTATTTGCTTTTATGCACAAAGAGAAAGCAGTGTCTCTTGTAATTAAAGCAACTTTTACTCCCTAATATCTGGTAAAGCGGAACTTTGAGACTTCATTTGCTCTTGGATCATGCTAATGCCGCTTAGTTAAGCAACTCATATTGTCTACAATCGTAAATCTAGCAGCTGTGTTCACTAAATACCCTTGGAAGCTAATGTGTTAAACACACTTCTTGAAGGTATTGGTAATAGTCATACGAGTCATACTCCCATAATTGTCATTCATATTTCTAATAATTTGTATACGATTACAAACAATATTCTCCAGCTCTCCTTACGCGTGACTTCGTCTTCATAATTTCATGGTCTTGTAACTGCATAAAATAAATGATAAAAAAAAATGACGGAGCGAGTTGATCGTTATGGTATGACTCACGTTTTATCTTTCTTGCCAGCGTAGGTTAATAAGGAATTTCCAAGATCAACGTTTTCTTGTGTATCAAATTTGCTAAAAGGCGACTGCAGCATCTTCACCCCTGGCCAGCTCTCCAGCGAAGACAAATGGAAACAAGTTGAGCAGACTTCTCATCGATGGCGGAACAACGGTGCTGAGGAATATTTTCGATCATTATCACCCTCCTACAACCTTGGCTTCTGATCTCAATTCCAATTACTCCATTCTTAACAACCTTTTGCGTAGAAGAGTTCTAAATGGCCGTCAGTGGGACAAACTGTTTCCCCCTGGTGGAGGGGTACCAGACTCCAGCACGTTTGACATCACTCTTCTTTTCCTACTGCTAACCAACATTTGTGGTTTATCTCCTCCTCCCCTGACAGGATGGCACAACAAGCCATCCCCTGGTGATAACTCTCTTCAGGCTAACCTTGCTCGAGTTAAGTTCTTCCGGAATGAGCTATATGGTCACGTGACTTCCACCGGTGTAGATGCGACATCTTTCTCTTCCTTCTGGCAAGAAATAAGCATTACTCTTCGTTCTCTGGGTTTAGATCAAGCAGAAATTGACAGACTGAAGGCAGAGCAGGGTGGAGAGGACAAATACCTAAATGTCTTAATCGAGTGGGCTAGCAGTGAAGAGGGCATTAGGACACTGCTGCAAGACATCCGTCAGTTCCAGACCACGGTTAAGAAAACTATAAAAGAAAATCATCAGTCACAACTGGAACTCATCAACCAAAAACTTCAAAGTCTCACCCTAAAGCTGGAAGAGATAGAAAAGGCCCAACGCAAAACACAGGACGGTGTAGAGGAAGTATTGAAGATGGAGCTCAAAGGTCAGAAAATTCTTCATGATGCTGATAAGTCAGCATTGGTTGGTAGCCCAGCTTGCAAATACATCACGATGTTGAATACTGACGCGGCGTTTGATTGGCGAAACGGTGGAGAGGTCAAAGAGATTGCCTGTTCTCTTAAAGGAGATACTATTTATTCCACTTCTTCAGAGTTTGTTCAATATTCCTTAGACACAAGTAGAAAGGTAACATTGGTTACTGCTTTGAGAATGTCAAACCGCGAGGAATTGAACACGATAGAACTCCCCGGCTCTGTTTCCATCTTTCCAACAAGGGATGGTGTAGTACTTTTAAAAGATGACGGCGCAGAGTTATGGACTTTTGACATGTCTACTTCTCTTCGGTCTCTCTCTGAGGTTACCCCAAGTGACGTTGTTTTTTCTATTTCAGAGGAACGGATATCCCGTTTTTATTCACCAGGACCACTGCATGTCTTTTGGTCAGATCCGATTCCGAACCGCATGTGGCAGCACTTCGTTATCGAATTTTTGGACGTCACCAGTGCTAGCAGCACGATTGTCTCCTCGCTAGAGATCTTTTTAGATTTCAATGAAGATCTACTTTCAGTTGTGTGTAGTAATCCAAGTCAGGTGTTACTTTGTACTGCATCGGAGAAGGTTACAGTCAGTTCATGGAAAAATGGTGTAATTCTGTGGGAAAGAACGTGCTGGACTGATACAGCTAGAATAATAACCGCGATTAAACCACAAATGGTTTTTTCTCCTAAAAGTGAGCTTGTTGTCACGTGGAACACTCTTAACCAAGGTCATGGCCTGCATATACTTAATGCAGATACGGGAGAAACAAAACACGTCTTCCTTAGAGACAAGCCTGACATTGCAATTGTTGACTGCAAGTTTTTAGATGATGAATCGCTGGTTTGCTGTAGTGAGGACAACTTCCTTCGATTGTATAATCTCAGCGCTGGAGGTCTGCTTAGTGTTCTAGACATCGGAGAGCAACCGTTCTGTTTGGGAGCCAGTTTGTATCACCCTCTAGTCGCCATTGGTTTGTCCGGCGCAAGAACAAAATTCATCCATGTACAGTTGCCAAAAGAAACTAAGAAGAAAACAAGGTTAGTTTCTTTTCTTTTCAACAGATCTTGGGCATTGAGATAAATTAACGATAAAGTCAACCCCGGAAAACCAACCAATCATCTTTGGCTTTGAATTAATACGTATAAAACTCAGTACTTTTGTGTTTGGGCAGGGCGAATGTTGTCGTAGCGACGGACTGGGCTTAAAGAGGGATCCATAGCGCTAAGACCACAGTACCATAGGTCTCATTGGTAACTTGTTTCAAGTAATGTTTGTAAAATCATTTTCGAGTGTTAGAACACTTTTTTTTCTCTCAGATCGTTCACGCGTGTGAATGTGTCGGACTGTCTGTTTTGGGCACTGCTTTATAGCTGCCTGGTTCGTAAATGTCTAGTGAAACTCAATACGGTCTTTACTTAAAACTAATGATTCCCTGAACTGAATTGAATTGCAGTGTCAGTGCAGACGTGACAATCGACGAAAAGAGCTACAAGATTTTCAAATCGATGTCCCTGGCTTAACTGGAATGTGGATTAAACTCAATTTAAACAGCCCGGAGTGCAAGCCGATATGTGCAGGGACTGAATTGTGGTGTCACGGTCGAAAGACACATGTATATAATGAACCGAACGTTGAAACTTTGCATACTATCACACTGGGAAACTCAGTGGGGTAGACAAGGGGCCACGAATTCCCTTCACTGTGAACGACTACTTTGAAATTGATATAATTGCTTAAAAGTCCTCTTCAACGGTCATCTCGCAGAATGCAAACGGAATTTGCAGTTCATTATACGTTTCTGGGAAATTGTCCTTCCACCCCTCCCTAGTCTGCATAGCATGGCAGTTTTGTCGGGCGCACTACTGAGCCGTCCAATCTCCTTACAGTTTCACTAACCCCACCTTGGCTTGTTAGCGCGCCCTACCAAAACCACCATGCTACGCAGGCTAACCCCTCCCCTGAGCCAACATTTTGCCCTAAGTGAGAAGTAAGTGTTAATGATGACTTAGGGGAGGGGTAGGTGAGCAGCTTCCTAGAAACGTATAATTATACGAGTTTGCCTTGCACTCTCAACCGTGATATATTCCAATCGTAATCAAATTGACAAAATGTGGACTACAATTATCACAAGCTTTAACTAGACATGAAGTGGAAGTAGATTATTAGAATATTAGTAGAATATTGCGCTCTTAGCCAGTGACAAGACGGTAACTACAATGTAGAATAAGTTTGGAAACAGTGCAACCTACGGATTAGTTAGTTATCTGCTAGCGGATAAACTAGTGACTAATCTGTGTGTTGCGCGCGCAATGCATTATTTCCAAGAACAATGTCAAAATATGTCCCACGCAATCGTGTGTTTGTCGTTAATATCTTTAAAACAATTTATAATAAAACAATTATTAAATTTGTTTTTTGAGATGTCAGGAATAATCAAGGTTTCGTTAACACGGATCAGCTCGACCTTCGGTTAGGCTGATAACACTTACTTCGACCTTGATTGCTCGGGATGTCACGCAAAACCTCATCCAATAACTGTTTATCAACTGTAGGCTCTTAGCAAGGTTTTAGCCAGAAGGGTGTTCAGGCGTTCTATGGACGCTCATTTATGGAAGAATTACAAGGAAAATTCACTTAATCTCTTATAATTTTATGGAAAAACGTGCCTTCTTGACGGCCAGTTTTCAATTCCTGGCTAAAAGCCTGGCTCTTAGCCGTTAAGAAGAAGATAGTCAGGAAAATGTATAATCATAATAACCGTTATAAAGGAATCCACAATGGTATTATTCCATACTTACTTTCTGTTGTAAGTGGGTGGAGAAATATATATGTGTACGTTATGCTGTGTTAGTTATTTACGGCTTCCCCATCGGGGTTCAACTGTATATGTTACGTAGGTTGAGGTTTCAACGTTTTTTATGTAATTATTTTTACTGGTTCCTAGAAACACGTTTATCGCAAGAACCTCACGAAGCTACAAAGAGCAGCAATAAGAATAAAGGGAAACAAGCTAAAGGGAAAAAATATGATTAAACAAATCGAAACGAAAAAGAAATGTACAACAAAGAAAAGAAAACAGCTTCGCCAAGAGTCGAACCTAAACTATCAGTCCTAAGGCCAACTCTCAGGCACTGCGCTACGCTGCCTGCCTGCCGATAACTAGTGAAAAAAAGTTATTATATTTAAAGCATTTTTTCGTACAATCATGCCGGTAGACGCTGTTAGAAGCAAAAACTAGCTATTTCAAAGCTTTTTTTGCATTATTTGGTTCGCTGGATGGAAAAAAATTACTCTTGGTTATGAAGGGCCAATCGATATACAGAGCTGAAACTAATAGTCACTAATTTGATTCTCCTCAGGAATAGCCGAGCTTGCGAAGTGCCGAATCGCACGTTAAAAAGGCCACCCACGAACCGAAGAAGACTCGGCCAATGCGCGCTAGTGTACTCTACTAGCTGTAGAAATTCCTCCAATAAGCGATGCACGACCATCTATCTAAAACACCAAAATCTTACCTATCGATCGAAAGCGACCGTGACACTTTTGGGTGTTACGGTTTTAAACTAGATTTCCCACTTAAGCTCGATCTCCATGCTCGCTGTAAGTACTACTTTGCAAAGATCTTTTAGCGACAACAAGGAGCTATACCGTAACTTTGAATCTGCAATGCAATGTATTCTCTTTCAAAAAGTAGATATGTCAGGGCCTCGTCTTCGAAAAGACCCTCTATAGTTCCATTCTCGTAAGCATTCACCTTCCGTAAGCAAGCACTCAATTGTTTTCGCAGATTGGGAGGTCACTTACGGGAGGTGCGTCAACTCCAGGGGTGGGAAGCGAAGGGGGGCACTCGAGGAAAGTTTGGGTAGAGGTGTGCCGCCCAAATGCCACACCCTTGTTGAAGGTTTGTCAAGTACTTTTCCATCGTGGTCAATGACTTTGGAATAAGATAAGATGATTGTTGTTATTGTTTTCAATTTATGTTATTAAGCTATTTTACGAAAAAGAAAAACATCACTGGTGTACTTACCTAGTCAGTAAACAGTATAAAAATACCTTTTAGCCAGCCGTATGGGCATAAGAAAATGAATTTAGTAAGCTGATTCACAGTTTTGACACCGAGTATGTAGACGATCCCCTCAAGACATTTTAATGCACCTTCCTTTGTTTTGAGCGGGGCATGATTTTCAGAAAAAGGAAAAGCAGGTCATGGAGGTGGAACAGGTGGTCATTACCACGAAAAATAGCCTACCGTTCCATTCTAGTGACCACAATAATGTCCTACTGGTTCTAAAACAAAAAAAAGGTGCATTAAATCTACCCGCTCGGTCTTCTTAAAAAAACCCTGCGCTACGCGCTCGGTCATTAGGCTGATTTAGCAACAGACCGGGAACGTCAGTTGACAACAGCGCGCACAAATCAAACAACTGGCTTGACCAATGGCAGTGCGATGAATGGGGCATCGGGAGTCGCACTTTGTCCTTTCCGCGCCCTTTCCTGTCGTCAGCTGACGTCCCCGTTCGGTTACTAAATCAGCCTATTATCTTTAAGACGGCCTCGAAGCTTAGGCAAAAATTCTCAGCATCGATTTTTTGTAGTTATTGCATTACAAAATGTCGAAAAAAAGAAACACTGACCTTGGAATTATGTAATGTACGGGGTTGTAATCACCGTTATGATCAGTGAAAGTTTAACTTTCAGTTAAAGTATACAGCACTCCATGTTGCTTTTTCATCATGGATCTGCTCGTAGCGGTGCTATCTTAGATTCTTATTTTGCGAGATCAAAATATTAATCTTGGCCGGGGTTTCAAAATTTATCATCTTCTGCATCATTACTTGTCTAAAAGGTGTCGATTTCGCATTTCCTTATAAAATTAGTTGAACTGAATAACTGTAAAAAGTAAAATTATGGGTGCTTTCCCAATGGCATCATTCGCTCCATGTACGGAAACCCGGTACCTGAATCTGGGAAATTTGGAACCCGGAAAAAGGTTTGCCGGGGGAAACCGAAATTCTGGGCTTTGGGACCTGGAATGCAGCTCATGGAATCCGGAATCCCATTAACGAATCCAGAATCCAAATTCCACACTAACTGGAATCCAGTATCTGGAATCCGAAATCCAGGGAGTGGAATCCAGAATTCAAGAATGTCTTTAATTCCCTTACATAGGACGACATTATTTTACTGGGAGGGGGGCAGGAGCCGGGGAGAAGAAAGGGCGGGAAGGGGGATCTCTTCGACAACGGGAAGCGGGAGAGAAATTCAAAACGGCAAGCTTTCGTTTTTTTGTTACTGCTTATCATCCAGTCAAAGAAACGAACCCAACAACTTCCATTTAACGTTCTCCGAGGCTTAAAGCAAAATTTTATGTGAGAGAAAAGTCAAAAAACGAAAATTCGTACTCGGGATAAGAAAAGACGGCATTACTCCAGTCAAATTGGAAACCTTTCCAAGTTGCTTACATCATAGGTCATGAATGAGATGGCATAACACATGTACAAGTGTGTCGACTGTGTCATGCTGTCGTGTAATATAAGTGTCTCGTCTCTCTCGCTAAAGGGCGGGAGTCGGGAGACAAAGGGACTTAAGGGTACGGAAGGCGGGAGGTTGTGACCACCCTGTCCCCACCCCCTCTCCTTTACTACTGCTGCCAGAATCCTTCACGGTTTTGCTTTCTTGTGAAAATTAGGACTTTCTTTTTTAAACCTCGCTGGGATGATCAAACTCAAATATGAATGGAAAAACGAAATGGATTTTAGTAGTGTTAGTACCCCAGACGCTATCGTCACTTGAAAATGACCACGTTATACGGTATTTTAACATTACCTTGTAAATTAAACATGAATTGTTGTAAAGAGTGCTTATTGAATGTGATTTAAGAACTGGTGGCTTTTTTTATTCGTAAATTATGCAAAAAATGCTATTGATGCAAAACACTATTCAACCAGTTTTCTAGCATTTTTTAATTTTTTACTTTTAATTTACTGTGAAAATCCCCGCACTTAAATTAAGTCTTACGTGTCGTAGTCTTGCCCAGCCTGTCTCGTATTGCTTTTAATTATGTGATTATGTATTTTAGCTATTCTTATATTTTTTTAATTTTCTGGGCCTGCTTTAACTGGCTCACACTGTTTCGGAATCCCTGCCACTTTTTCTTTGTTATGTTGTTTGATTACGTTGGCGAAGCTAATAAAATAAAATTTAAAAAATAAATAACTTCCTGTGTTTTATTTACCTTCACGTAGTAAAAACAAAAGCATATTTGATAAAGACACAGCATAACAACAAACGGAGATTGGTGACAAAAGCAAATTAAAGTGACACTGTGAAACATTGCATGGTTTTCATCCCCTCTCCCAACCCCACCCCCAAGAATATAACAGCAACAACAACAAGTTTTTTCAGTTTGCCATAGTGTTACCGATTAAAATACAACAAACAGCTATGAGATCTAAGATTAGTTAAAAAGGAAATGCAAATATAATTGAATGGTATAATTTAATATCTTTTTTTCGTACTGCTTTGAAAAATGAAAGTAGCAGTTAGCCTGCTGCTGACCTATGAGTCACTATCCTTTATGGTTATTGTAGCCTGCGTACGTGGTAGGCGTTAAAAGGGGAAGGGGGAATTTGGGCGCGAGAAGTAACAATAGGGCCATTTATACGAGGAAAAATAAGACGCGTCTTAAATAAGACGCGAACTGTACCATTTATACGAGCATGTCTTATCTAATAAGACGCGTTGTAGCTAAGCCGCGTCTTATTTTAGACGAAATGTGCCGTTTATACGGAAAGTTCGCGTCTTATTTTTCCTCGTATAAATGGCCCTAATAGGGCCTTCTCGCGCCCAAATTCTCCCTTCCCCTTTTAACGCCTACCACGCAGGCTACAATAACCATAAAGGATGTTGGAAAAATAAGACGCGTCTTAAATAAGACGCGAACTTTCCGTATAAACGGCACATTTCGTCTAAAATAAGACGCGGCTTAGCTACAACGCGTCTTATTAGATAAGACATGCTCGTATAAATGGTACAGTTCGCGTCTTATTTAAGACGCGTCTTATTTTTCCTCGTATAAATGGCCCTATTGTGATTTCAACCCGGAGTAGTCAATCGATAAAAATCGGTAGCAATCAAGTGATTCTTATCGATTGATAACGGTAATCAGTGAAAATCGGTAATCTAAATTGCTGTGTCAAATCGATATCAACTATTTTTCATGATTTTAAAGATTTATAACGGAAGTCTGCCATTTTTGGTTTTTGGCACGAGTTAGAAAATACAGCTGGGAAAACACATCCACGAGTAACAACTGAACAACAAACATGAAAATGAGAAATGTGGAACCTAGTACACACACAAGCTTCTCTCTAAAACTCTTCGTTTTGTACGTAACAACTTAACAAAAACGGTTCGGTTTTATAATTACATTCAGTTCTCGTAGGTAAGTATCACTAGAAATGCGACGTTAGTAAAGTTTTCCCAACCTGAATCTCAGACATACCCTCGAGTCGAAGGGATGTCTGAAATTCATTCATAGATTTCCCTCTATAAATTCTCACCGTTTCTGTAATCACTTGATTGCTAAAGATTTTTATTGATCTCGATTTTTGTCTATCAGCTACTCCAGGATGTAGCTACACCCGGAACTACACCGACGTTATTTTGAAAGGGCGGCAGGTCTAAATGGTGAAAAACTGGGCGCTTACAAACCAGAGGAATATTTTAAACCTGGTTTTGAAGAAAAGATAAGATTTTTAAGAATTTTTAAAAAGATTTTTTTAAAAAGTGATAATTGTTTGATCCTTCGACTATCAATTGCAACTCAATTGTCAACAAATTTACTGCTTGCATGAAATCAGTTTTCATTTTTGGATGAACAGATGAACAGATATATCTTCCGATATGAATCGATGAAATCGGTAAAAATCAAGATAAATGGATTAACGAAACGAGTGTGTCATCGATTTCTACCGTTTGATCGATACAATCGAAATCAATCAAATCAGATTTACCGATTTTTATCGATTGAATACTCCGAGTTTCAATAGCTGTCGATGTAACAATTTTCGGGACAAATTGAGACAAAAAAAAAATAGGAACCTTAAGCAAGGACGACGACGACGGCAATGAAAACGTCGCTAAAAAAATGATCTTTCAAACTTACTCGCGTCTATTTGGACCCGCTCAAAATGTCAAATGCAGGCGACTTCTCATGGAGTTGAATTCTTAAGGATTTTATTCAGGTTCAAAAAGAGGAAGGAAAATTCGTCGTCGTATGTTCACGTTTTCCATAAAACGGCAAATTAGGAGGTTTCACGTCGTAGTCGTGCAGTTGACGTCAAAGAAATGTATTAAAAAGCGTGATGCACGTGCAGAGCTGTTGTTTTGATCATTAATTAAACCTATTGTTTTTTGAAGTCGTCGTTGTCGTCGTCGTCCTAGTTGCTTGAGCTCCCTAATGTTGAAAATCAACGACATCTTAGCAGCTGTATCTCTTCTAACAGCCTTGTCGCCAGGCCCTTTTCCCATGACATTTGAGAAGTTATTGGACGCACGGACGTTTAATATACTGCCCTGCGATAATCTGCTCTTCTGTTGTCATGCAAAACATGGCCTCTTTACCGTTTTATCTTCTGCTTGTTGTAAGTTTGAATTTTCTTTCGTCGAATGCTAAACCTGTTAGTTTATTGGATAACGGTGAGTAACAGTGAATCATTAATTTGCTATCGACTCAAAATGATATACCTCTTTGATGGGCTCCCGTATACCTATAAAATTTCCTAACCTCTTGGATTACTTAAAGAATCGACTCATGCAATGCGCAATTGTGTGAATTGCCTACGCATTTTAAAAGTCCATTTTTTCCTTGTAGTCTTTTAGTGTCATAGAGAACATTAATCGTAACTATGAGACAGAAAGCTTTATTTAGGGCCTGTTTACATGAAGGTGGGGCACCCCAGGTAGGTGATGAGGTCACCCGCTTTAGGAGGGGTAACCTGCCTGTCCATATAATCTCTCATTCTAATGTGATCACGTTTACATGATAAATGGGGTGACCCGCAAAGGCAGGTAGCCCGGTCTGGCAGACCGGGTAACCCTCTCAGCCGGTCAAATTTTGCCATGTAAACGTTTCAAGGAGGGGTAACCCGCCTAGCCGGGGTCAGATTCGTGATACATCAAATTCGCGCAAAATTCACTTTGGCGGTGGTTTTGCATCATTATTAAAGTTAACAATAGAAAGCCATCACACTGAAGGTTGCAGCAAGAGCAGCCAAAACATGTGGTTTACGATCATGTTTCTTGTTTACGTGCTTAGCGACCATTCAATAAGCTTGAGAAAGTGCACCCTGGGATGGCGTGGTTGTAAGATTGCATGTAAAGGAGGGTTAATTTTTTACCCCACCTAAGCGGGTAACCTCACCTTGCTGGGGTCCCCCACCTCCATGTAAACAGGCCCTTATTTTGCTGCATTGCATGAGAAATATGGTCCCTAGGGTACTCTAGTCCCGATGGGCACTTCCATATGTGCCGCTGAACAGGATATGGTTTTTCTGAGTCTTTTAGCCTGCGGACTAAGACGTATTTAGGGTCGTCTGACGTCTGTGTCCGCAGGCTATGAGTCTTCAGGATTCCTACCAAAAATTATTTTTTTCCAAAATCATCTAATTCCATTGTGTCAGTTTAAACAATTTTAATCTAAATTACGTAATTCTGCATGGGAAACGAAACGAATCAGGGCCGGGTTGTTCGAAGCTGGGTTAAGATAACCCAGGGTTAGTGCAAATTTCGAACTCAGATATGAGAGCTTTAAAAAGCCAATTCAGTTGAATTCTCTTTGCCTACAATTTGATGATTGGATATGCTAAAAGAATAGAGAAAATTATCCGGAGAGACTGCTTTTGATATAAAGAAAAAGAAACCCGGGTTAAAATTTAAGCCCGGGTTAGCGCTAACCGGCTTTCGAACAACTGGGCCCAGGACCCTAAAATAAGTTCTCTCGACAAGGTAGCGAAATGCATGATTCTGTCTAAACCGAGTCAGGGTTTGAAAGCTTTGGCGGGACTTCGGGAAAAGGGTTCCTGGTCTAAATACGATTTCCTTTCCCCTATTTTTTCGAAAATTGCAAAGAAGAACTTAGTAATAAAATGATTGGTTTCAAGAGGGTCAAAAACGTGAAGAGCAAAAAACGTGTCTTCATGATCACGCATCCAGTGCCGGAGGCAGCCCTGTCATGTCAGTATATTGTGTTGGCCTATGCAGATGTTTCTTCACGTAAATTAACTTGTAATAGAGTGGAGAAGTGTGACGTCACGTTACCATGGTAGCACTATTTCTGGATGACAACAAAACCAACGACGACTGCCACAGCAAGGAGAACGAAAAAATAATATGTTTATATTAACAAACAACAACTTTGCACGTGCATCACGCTATTTTGTACACTTCTTTGCCGTCGTTGCACCACTACGACATGAAACTTCCTAATTTCACGAGCCCGCTTTATGGAGTAGGTGAACACAACACAAAAATTGTCGCTTTCTTTTTCTAAACTTAGATAACGATAGATACGGTCCCAAAGAAAATTTCGCCAAGATTTGCCAAATTAAATGAAATTGAATAAGATCGGTGAAGTTTGAAATAGTGCGAATGGACTTTTAAGTGACTTTATCGGTTTGTTGTCATCCAAACATTTTGCTACCATGGCAACGTGACGTAACGACTTCTCCTGTCTATTCAAACGGAAACTCAATGATCCCTCTTATTATCTGCGCACCCCTAACGCTCACTCCTCATTAGGCCTTCTAACCGCCTGGCCAAAAAAATCCCCCCAAAATTAAATTTCGTTTTGTAAAATCGTAAGAAATAAATGGTACTCTGCAAACGTTCTACTTAATAGGTTTCATTTGAATACCAGCACCATAGGATTTCGCCCACAGACTCATTGTTGTTCCGAGCCTCTTTTTCAAAGGGAGGCTAAGTGCAACAGGAAAGGTTTTACACTCAGTAGCCTCGTTTCTAAAGTGAAAGTTTATGGAACTCGGCAAAAATTACCTATTGTTGACAAAAGTCTGGTCGCTACTGCCCAAGCTAGCCCGGAAGGGGGGGGGGGTACTCCTGGGAATTCTTGGCGGGGTTGTGCCTGACCCTATTTCAGACCAAAAAATGTCATTTTCCATACCTGTTTTCAGACCAGACCTCTAAAATCCATACCCGTTTTCCGACCTTGCCTTTAGGCAGAAATTATGTCATCATTACTTAGATTAGAGCGCAAACAAAAAATTTCTTCAAACGCATTTCGAATTCACATATTTCTATTCAGTCGTTCTTCAATTCATTTGGGATTGAAAAGACAAGTATGTTCTTACACTCCCGTAGTTTCCTCGAAAACTATACCCGATTCCAGACCAAAATGGGAAAGTCTATACCCGTATTCAGACCATGTATTCGGTCGCTAGGGAAAAACAGCCATCCTATGTGCTAATTTGATAACATACGTATTTCTGCATAAAAAGTAGCGCTAAAGAAAATTCTGCACCGTTGTTAATTTAGTTGAAGACGCGTATGTATTCAATTTTTTTCAGGCTTTCTTTTTCGCATCTAAGTTGCGTTCATAACAGCGATGATTTTTCACTTATGGAAATTAATGTTTTCTTTAATTAAAACTTACTTTGACTGAAAGATTTTCCCCACACCAACAAACAACTATGATCGTAGGCTACCTATAACATCTTTTTTTCTTGTCTGCATGATAAAATTTACTGAATAATTGATAGTGTACTCAGCCATCTGTTTTCATTACACATCTTCCTTGTTAACAGTGACAGAACAGATTACTTTTACTCAAATAACAAATACACTGAGTGAGAGCCTTTGAAGTTAAGTAGACCGAAGTAATTGACACGGAATATGAAATTCTACTACATGCTTTTTTGCGTCATAATCTTGTATAAAAGCATGGCCACGTTTGTAAGAAGTCATTCTTGTAATGAAGGTATGTTTTAGAACCTTTTTTCTAATGCTCTTGAAACGCTAACAGTTAGCCAAATTTTGCAGCAATTTAACAGAGGAGGGATATTTTGCGCATTTAACAGAATTGCGGTTTAGTTGATAAAATTCCCCCGTGCTGCAGTTTTCGAATTAAATACAACCATTATTTCTCCACTCTGTTCCATGTTTTTGTTTTTTTCGATTTGATATATTCTTTTTCGTAGTGAGTTCAGCCCTCTAAGTTACTAAAATGCAAGCTCTTTGACAGAAACTTAAGGAAATCCAAGTCAATTGTTTTCCCATTAATTTTATACCGTAAGCTTTTTTAAAAACATTGTGACATATCTGAGTGCTTAAAAGTCGCTTGACATTAAGTATTATACGGGACTTAAGACGCTTCGTTAATTAACCAATGCTGCGTTTAGAAGGTTAGAAGCTGCAGCTGCTAACAGCTAGATCTCCAAGGTCTTGTGTTTTACTTTGAGTATCACCACCAACTGGGGACTCAGCTGGACTTCTTTTGAAACAAGTCAAATGCGACTCCATGGTGGAGAGTGTTTAATTTAGTCTTGACTGTCACGTCCTGTGAATTTTTTAATGAAGGGAAGTTGACCTCCAACAGTGCAATATTTACCTAGATTCATGGCATTTAGATTTAGACTGTGTTTGAATTATTTACGCTGACTGTTTCTGAATTATTTACGCTGATGTTATCGCATTAATTATAGATGGTAAGACGTTTCACATAGTTATATGTTAATTTTACATAATATAGCTTTAGGTTATCAGGAACAGGCTTGATTCGTACTTGACAGAGGCAAAATATGATGAACAAAAATAATCAGAATTTTCATCGATAGGCTGTTACAGGTGGAGAGGCATGGATGAGGGGAGGGGAGGGTGGGGTAGTGAGTGTTTGAGGTGGAGAAGTGGGGGGAACCTGTGTACATACCCCCCTCCCCTCAGGAAAAATGAGTGTCGTTGTCAATGTGATGATTTTCAGATTACCTGCTATGTACTAGCGACAGGCCATAAAACCAATCAAAATCCCTCATTTACATGATGCAGTGATAGATCATTCTCTCTTGTCTACGAGTAACAGCTAATCAAATTATTTTCCACACATTTCGAGAAAAATCACGTGGTCTTCATACACGATTAGCAACGGTGAATCACAGACCCCCCTTCTCTGAGTTTTCCTGACGGAAGTGGGGCGGGGGTCTGTACACGGGCTGAGGTGGGAGTTTTTCATTTCAGCGTCAGAATTTTAACATTCTGCGGAGCTTAACTAGAGACTATTGTTGTTGGGCCATCGTAGTTTGATCAAAAATAAAACACAAACAGCGGTGATAAACATTGTGAGTTTTCGCATTTTTTATAAACTTGACGTTTCGTATGCTATTCAAAATACATTTTCAAAATTGATCTTAAGTGACCGTTGAAGAGAGAATGCTAACCGCTGAACAATATACGGAATCCTTAATTTAAATTTGAATAGGAAACCCAAATGAACTCTATTACAAGTGTTAGAAATATAGTTCTGCTATTTTCTTTCTTAAGGTCCTTGTCGCGAATTGGCGTTCCCAAGTTTTCTTTTTTTTGCCGACAAGCGCCTGATGAACCACACCATAAAAACTTTAAAAGTTCGCCATCTGGATGAGTGTGAGTTGAGGTGTTACTACGAGCACAATTGTGTCAGCCTTAATTTTGAAAACAAAATGGTTGGAAATGGAAAATACAGCTGTGAATTGAACAATTCTACACACGGAGAACACGATGAAGACTTTGTGGAGGCATCAAATTTCCTTTATCGTGGAACAAACGTAAGATCATTAAATTCTAACGTTATCCAGCTACAGTCTCCGAGCCTATTAATACCATAACCCAACGCCTCGTCCAAAGGGAAACGGCTGGAGCTCACTCTTTTGGGCTTGACTGAGTTACAATATTTTGCAAAGATCAAAAAGTAAGGAGATAGTTTCTGTTTGTGATAACTGCACGGGATGATGTGAATATTATGGAATTTGACGCGCTGAGGGCCAGGTACGTCATTTATGATGGCAGCCGAGTTGGCCGTCATATTGGATGTCATTGAAAATTCAGATTTATCGCAATGGACTAAACGCAAACCATCTTTCTTTTGAACCCTCCCCCCCCCCCGACTAAATCTGACACCTACACTAGGTCTCTTCCTTTCGCCAGCCATTCTCATTTACTCTCTGAAACGCAAGTTTTTCTCCCTAGACAGTTTTGTTTCAACTGTAGCCGTTTTTCAGAAATTTCACTTTATTATTATTTTAAGATCGAAAATTTTTGTTATTACCTCTTAAACTGCAAGTGCCTCCCAAAAGAAAGAGTTTTTTGCTACTTAAATAACATGAACAATTCAATTTAACTTGTTAAACACCTTACAACAACGCGCCCTTATGTATGTAAGACGGGCTAATCCCTAAACCCGACGCTTAGAGTTGGGCTCGGACTGACAATCTTTACTCATTTTCCTTGAATCATGATAAGGCGGACACCTCTAGCAAAGGTTTAGAAAGGCTCAGAAGCATAAAGCAATATCTCTTTTCCATAATATTTTCCCCAGAATCCTTGTGGTAGTTCTCCATGCAAAAATAACGGGACTTGTCAATCAGGATTTACCAAGAAAGGATATCACTGCTTGTGTCGTCGAGGCTGGACAGGTGCAAACTGCCAAATGGGTAGGTCTGAAAAATGGACTTAATGGACGTAGTAGTTATGAAACCACGCAAGCTGTACCGCACTTAAAAGGAAGAAACCACATGTGAGAACATTAATTTGAAAAAAAGTATATAATCCGCTGTAATATTAGCCCTGCCATGGTCGACAAAACCATCACAAGCACATCAAGCGCAGGGCCTTCCAGACGGAAGCAGCGTTTTCAGGAGCTTGTGCATTGATGAAAGAGTTTTCCTTTCACTTTGGAGTGGATTCAGGATTTGCGGCACGTTTCTCTTTACTTTCACCTTCGTTTAGCCTAAAATTCTCGATCTGAGTTATAATTTGAAGTTGAGTTAATTTTCGGTGGACTGTCGACCTGTCGTGTAAACGAGACAGTTCCACTGTCCAGTCATCGTTTTCTTTGCAAAGTAACTGAATGAGTCTTCTAATAACTATCTTCACCGTGATGAAAACAGTCACGAGTGTAGCCAGAACGCAGATTGTACAAACACAAAGGGATCTTACAGATGCAACTGCAAGACTGGATTCTATGGAGATGGATACAACTGCACGGGTATCCCAGTGTTTACTTGGGTCCTTAGTTGTTGTAAACAGTTCAGAAAAGATCTAACCATCAATAAACTGCAAAAGATCATCCTCTTAAGAGCGGCACGTATACTAAGAAGATTTCTGTCCATCCAGTAAAATATCCCTCTAGCAACTCAGGACCAAGGAATGGGCCAGTTTCTAACAGACTACAAGGAACAACAACAATAATAATAATAATAATAATAATAATAATAATAATAATAATAATAATAATAATAATAATAATAATAATAATAATAATTAATTAATTAATTAATTAAAGAGCCAGTATCCAGAAGAAAAGGTAGAAGAGTGGATTTTAAATCCAGCGTGCTGATGGAAGTGGAAAGCTCAGTTATAAGCGAGGTATTATTTCTCTGGCCAAGAAGACGAAAAGGGGAGCTTGTAGCAGAAATATTATGCTAGTATACCATTGATCTATTTGCATAGGAAAGAGAGGGAGAGAAGACTTAAAAGAAAGGGTGGCTTATTCACTGTCTTCCGCTTTATAAAGAATATAAACGCAAGTGAGATGTAAGTAGTTAATTCACACTATTACAACACTATTCTAGATATCAACGAATGTCAAGAAGAACTGAGATGTGGAAAGAACGCAGCTTGCACGAACAATGAAGGATCTTTCAGATGCACCTGCAATATTGGTTACTATGGAGACGGATACATCTGCACAGGTATACCACTGTTAGAGCAAACTTCCCAAGACTGAAAGCAGTTGCAGGCGAGGGTAAAAGACATCACTGATTTTCTGATCACCATCAGAAAAACAGCCTGAAGTATGATGATGTTTACCGGTTTGAGGTTGCCAATAGTTCCTGGTAAAGAAAAAAAAAACGGCCATGCAATAAAGTGTTAACAATAACTGATGCGCTAGATGGAGAATTTTTCTTCTTTAGCTTTTGTAAAAAAAACCCACTGCACTGAACACCAACGAATCTTCTAAAGTCTGAGGCATTGGCTGCTTTGACAGTTATGATCGTTAATCACGTAAATCGTAAACTTTTAAACAAAACATCATATGAGAAAGGACTGGTTTGTTTTTTAGGGGAGTTAAGGAAAACTCTTTAACAACTGCCTCTGGCAACATAGTGTCTCATCGCTAGCAGAAACGTTGATCAGTCTGATATTTTTCTGACGAGGTAAAAACTGGTTTGGCTGCTCTTCTGATTTAATTCTTCTCGATCTTAATAATAATTATGCTTAATAATAATTTCGCTATTAAATTGTCTCCTATGGCTTCTCTTTTAACACGAACAAATTGATTATCTCACTGTCACAGTCATCTCACTCTCTGATCTTAAATATCTTTTGTTCTCAAACTAGAGTGTTACACAATATTTGACTTCGAAGACCATGATTTGTCAAATTGGACTTTGAATGGTACAGCATTCAATAATCAGCCAACATACGGGAATAACACATTAGCAAGGGGGTTTGAGTATGGAAGCAACTACAAAGGGGATTGGTGGATTGGTACCTACGAGAATCGGTCCAGTCCCTCTGAACCGTTTGGGGGACAGCAAGGTGATGGTCCTCAAGGCTCAATGACGTCACCCAGTTTTCAGATTACTGGAAAGTTGCTTACCTTCCTGATTGGATCAGGCTGCGACAAGAGTTTTCCAAACCTTCGTGCCGAGCTTATTATTGGTGGGGAAGTGGTTCGCAATAAGACGACAAAGGCGTGTGATGAAGCTATGAAAGAGGAAAGCTGGAATGTAACAGATTACGCTGGTAAAAATGCCCAGTTGCGTTTGGTTGACAATTCCTCAGGGGACTGGGGTCACATCAATTTTGATCACTTACAAGCTTGCCATAAACTCATTTCAGATATGGATTCTTGAGTTCTCTTGGTGTTCATTTTGAGCAGTTCTGTAAGATGAAAAGAGACAAAGGACTTGTAAGACTAGAGGCGGTTTTGTTTTGGGAATCATTTACAGAATGTACAGCTCTCTTTGTTTTTCTTCTGTGATCAATCAGATCGTCTGTACTTTTATTTTACTTCTATTTTATGTAGTGATTTCGGTGAACAATACGTGTAGTAGAGTTCGGATGTTTCGAATTAGCTCTGCGGTATTTTCCCAAAAGTTAAAACAAAAGTAACTTTATTCGCTCTTAAAAACCCAATACAATGGGAGTCATTTCTCTCCCTGAACCAAATTACAAACACAAAACTAAATATAAAGGTAACGAGCTAACAGCGGGGTGTAAGAAGCTTGTTCTTAAAGTTAGTGTACGATTAACATAAGAATTATGTGAAGAGTTTAGTAATGATCCTTGTAAAAATTGGGACTTTCAAAGTAGCAGAAAGCACTTCAGAGCCTTGCTTTATCTTTATTGTTTGACTAAAAGCTGTAAAAGGTAGCAAAACGTATACATACATCAGGAACCGGGGCCAATAGCACACATATCAGGAGAATGCACCCAGCGAGAGTTTCCTCTTTAATACATTGAAAACACTTTTTAGGCTATCCAAAGTACTTTTAGAGCTGTAGAAATTCATTTTAAATGGCGCTATAAAATTTGTATCTGTTCGGTCACCTTAGAGGAACTTGGGTCTTTTCGAAATTTTAAGGGCTTGTTGATTCGAGAAACGGTAGAGAGGTCAAAGCGATTGCCTGTTCTCTTAAAGAAGATACTATTTATTCCACTACTTCAGAGTTTGTTAAAGTTTCCTCAGACTCAAGTAGAAAGGTAACATTGGTTACTGCTTTGAGAATGTCAAACCGCGAGGGATTGAACACGATAGGACTCCCTGGCTCTGTTTCCATCTTTCCAAAAAGGGATGGTGTAGTACTTTTAAAAAATGACGACACAGAGTTATGGACCTTTGACATACCCCAAGTGACGTTGTTTTTTCTATTTCAGAGGAACGGATAGCCCGTTTTTATTCACCTGGACTACTGCATGTCTTTTGGTCAGATCACTTCGGTTAAAAACCACCTATTGATCGAAAGCGACCGTGACCACTTTGGGTGTTACGGTTTTAAAATAGATTTCCACTTAAGCTCGATCTCTATGCTTACTGTAAGAACTACTTTGCGAAGATCTTTTAGCGACCACAAGGAGCTGTACCGTAACTTTACAATTGCAATCCAATGAATTCTCTTTCAAAAAGTAGATGTGTCAGGTCCTCGTCTTCGAAAAGATCCTCTATAGTTCCATTCTCGTAAGCATTCACCTTCTGTAAGCAAGCGCTCAATTGTTTTCGCAGATTGGGAGGCCACTTACGGGAGGTACGTCAACTCCCGGGGTGGGGAGAGGGCGGGGGGGGGGGCACTCGAGGAACGTTTGGGTAGAGGTGTACCGCCCAAATGCCACACCTTTGTTGAAGGTCCTGTCAAGTACTTTGCCATCGCGGTCAATGACTTTGGAATTAGATAAGATGATTGTTGTTATTGTTTTCAATTTATTTTATTATGCTATTTTACGGAAAAGAAAAACATCACTGGTGTACTTACCTAGTCAGTAAAAAGTATAAAGATGCCGTTTAGCCAGCCGTATAGGCACAAGAAAATGGATTTGGTAAGCTGATTCATAGTTTTGACACCGAGTATGTAGATGATCCCCTCAAGACATTTTAATGCACCTTCCGTTGTTTTGAGCGGGGCATGATTTTCAGAAAAAGGAAAAGCAGGTCATTTGGGTGGAACCGGTGGTCATTACTACGAAAAATAGCCTACTGTTCCATTTATTTTAGTGGCCACAATAATTTCCTGCTGGTTCTAAAACAATGAAAAGGTGCATTAAATTACCCGCTCGGTCCGCGCTACGCGCTCAGTCATTGTCTTTAAGACGGCCTCGAAGGAGCCCGGGAGAAGAAAGGGCGGGAAGGGGGATCTCTACGACGGCTGGAAGCGAGGAAGACATTAAAAAAGACAAGCTTTCGTTATTTGTTATTGCTTATCATCCACTGAAAGAAACGAACCCAAACAACGTCCATTTAACGTTCTCCGAGGCTTAAAGCAAAATTTTATATGCGAGAAAAGTCAAAAACCAAAAATTCGTACTCGGGATAAAGAAAAAACAGCATTACTTGCGGTCAAATTCGAAACCTTTCCAAGTCGCTTACACCGTAGGTCATTAATGAGACGGCATGACACATGTACACGTGTGTGGACTGTGTCAGTCGTGTAAGTGTCTCGTCTCTCTCGCTAAAGGGCGTTAGTCGGGAGACAAAGGGATACAAGGGTACGGAAGGTGGGAGGATGATCAACCCTGTCCCATCCCCCCACCGCTTTACTACTGCTACCAGAATCCTTCACCGTTTTTCTTTCTTGTGAAAATTGGGGCTTTCTTTTTAAAACCTCGCTGCGATGACATGACCACGGTATTTTAACATTACCTTGTAAATGAAACATGAAGTGTTGTAAAGAGTGCTTATTGAATGTAATTTAAGAACTGGTGGCTTTTTTTATTCATAAATTATGCAGAAAATCCTATTGATGCAAAAAATTATTCAACCAGTTTTCTAGCATTTTTTAATTTTTTATTTTTAATTGACTGTGAAAATCCCCGCACTTAAGTTAAGTCTGTCTGTCTTAAATGTAATAAGTGTCGTAGTCTTACTCAGCCTGTCTCGTGTTGCTTTTAATTTCGTGATTATGTACTAATCTTAACTACTCTTATATTTTTTAATTTTCTGAGCCCGTAGTAACTGGCTCACGCTGTTTCGGGATCCCTGCCACTTTTGTTTTTGTTATTCGTTTGATTACCTGAATGTATTTATATTATGTTGGCGAAGCTAATAAAATAAAAAAATAAAATAACTTGTTTTTTATTTACCTTCACGTAGTAAAAACAAATTAAGCATGTTTGATAAAGCATAAAACCAACCAAAACCACCCCCCCGCCCCCAAATATAACAAGAACAACAAGTTTTTTCAGTTTGCCATTAAATAGAGTTTCACCGTTCCCGTTATCAATCGATAAAAATCACCTGATTACTAACAATCTTTATTGATTCGATTTTTGTCTATTGGCTACTCCAAGATGTAACTACACCTGGAACTGCTACACCGACGTTATTTTGAAAGGGCGGCAGGTCCAAACGGTGAAAAACTGGGCGCCTACAAACCAGAAGAAAATTTTAAACCTGGTTTTCAAGAAAAGATAAGATTTTTCAGAATTTTTAAAAAGATTTTTTTAACAAGTGATAATTGTTTGATCCTTCGACTATCAATTGCAACTCAATTGTCAACAAATTTACTGCTTGCATGAAATCAGTTTTTATTTTTGGATGAACAGATGATCAGATATATCTTGACTACTCCGGGTTTCAATAGCTGTCGATGTAACAATTTTGGGAACAAATTAAGCAAGTACGACAACGACGGCAGTGAAAACGTCGTTAAAAAAATGAATTTGCGTTCTTTCAAACTTAATCGCGTCTATTTGGACCCGCCCAATATGTCAAATGCAGGCGACTTTTCATGGAGTTGAATTCTTAAGGATTTTATTCAGGTTCAAAAAGAGGAAGGAAAATTCGTCTTCGTATGTCCACGTCCTCCATAAAACGTCAAATTAGGAGGTTTTACGTCGTAGTCGTGCAGTGGACGTCAAAGAAATGTACTAAAAAGCGTGATGCACGTGCAGAGCTGTTGTTTTGATCATTAATTGAACCTTTTGTTTTTTGAAGTCGTCGTTGTGGTCGTCGTCGTCGGCGTAGTTGCTTAAGCTCCCTAATGTCGACAATCAACGACATCTTAGCAGCTGTATATCTTCAAACAGCCTTGTCGCCAGGTCCGTCTAATTTCCCATGATATCTGAGAGGTTATTAGACGCACGGACGTTTAATATACGGCGCAGCGACAATCTGCTCTTCTGTTGTCATGCAAAATATGGCCTCTTGGCCGTTTTATCTTCTGCTTGTCGTAAAGTTTGAATTTTCTTTCGTCGAATGCCAAACCCGTTAGTTTATTGCATAAAGGTGAGTAACAGTGAATCATTAATTTGCTATTGATTCAAAATGATATAGGTATAAAATTTCGTGACCTCTTGGATTACTGAAAGAATATACTGCATGTTTTTACAATTCCATTTTTTCCTAGTAGACTTTTTAGTGTCATAGAGAACATTAATCGTAACTATGAGACAGAAAGCTTTATTTATTTTGCTACATTCTATGCATGAGAAATATGGTCTTTGAAACCCATTCCCTAGGGTACTCTATCCCCGAGTGACACTTCCATATGTGCCGCTGAACAGGATATGGTTTTTTTGAGACTTTTAGCCTGCGGACACAGACGTATTTACGGTCGTCTGACGTCTGTGTCCGTAGGCTATGAGTCTTCAGGATTCGTACTCAAAATTATTTTTTCCAAAATCATCCAATTCCATTGTGTTAGATTAAACAATTTTAATCTAAATTACGTAATTCTGTCTGGGAAACGAAAGGAATCAGGGCCGGGGTTGTTCGAAGCCGGCTGGGTTAAGATAACCCAGGGTTAGTGCAAATTTCGAATTCAGATATGAGAGCTTAAAAAGCCAATTCAGTTGAATTCTCTCTTTCTACAATTTGATGATTGGATATCCTAATAAAAAAAAAAATAGAGAAAATTATCCGAGAGAGTGCTTTTGATAAAAAGAAAAAGAAACCCGGGTTAGAATTTAACCCCGGGTTAGTGCTAATTGGCGTTCGAACAACTGGGGGCCCAGGGCCCTAAAATAAGTTCTCTCGACAGGGTAGCGAAATGCGTGATTTGTGTCTAAACCGAGTCAGGGTTTGAAAGCTTTGGCAGGACTTCTAGAAACGGGTTCCTGGTCTAAATACGATTTCCTTTCTCCCTTTTTTTTTCGAAAATTGCAAAGTAGAACTTAGTAATAAAATGAATTGATGGAACAT